AAAAAAAAAAAAAAAAAAAAAATAAGGCGACCGCGATATCCACCTGTCGTCCCATCGAGGAGAGATTACACCGGTGATTCGAACGGTTAGATGGAAATCACGATTTTATTCCGTTCCTCCAAGGATTCCTGTATGCTCCTTATTTTCCTTTTACTTACTCGGTCGAAGATACCATTGCCCCTTAACTCTTTACCAAGGATTCATTGGGAATTCTTCTTCTGGAAGTTCCCTCGAGAATCTTTCCCTGGTTCTAGATAGGGAAGGATCTGGGAATTAGAGGCAAGGGGGTTCGGTTTAGGATGTGATCAAATTTAGAACCGGATGTTTCTTACACGTATTTTATCTGAGTTATTTATTAACTATTTTTCTTTTCTTTTCTTTATGTTTTTCTTAGAGATGTTCGAGTCGTATGCGTGCTGAGTACGTTTGAAACAAGATTCATCATCGAAATACGAAGAATTCGTAGGGAAATTTTTCGTGTCAGGTAAGGAATTCTTATTTCGTAGAAATAATATATTTTTTTAATTTTTTTTTATCATGCTCTCTGCTCTCTTTGCGAATTATTCTTTTCGTTATTATGCAATGTTATCAAGTCAATTTTTGTAATGGATCGTAGCAGAAACGTGCCGGTAAACACGATGTTTATTCAAGTGACAAAACACGGCTGTTAAAATTTTTGATTGATCATCGTGATTGATGCCTATTTTTTAAGCGTTCCTTATTAACCTTCCTCTTTTTTCATTTAAACGTCGATTAACGATGTTTGCGTATTATTTCACGAGGAATTTGTATTTGAAATTTGGATATCAAATTCCATTCCAGAATGCTTACGAGGGATGATACGAGTTACGAGGAATCCGTAGATCGAAATATCGTAATTTTCTTTGTTTATTTTCATTTATTTATTTATTTTTTTCGTTCTAGGGAGCAATGTTGAAAAGATTGGATCGCGTTAAAAATCCACGAATTTGGGAGCAGTGCATGTTGAAACGTCTGCAGGGAATCTTGATCGATGTTTGGTATGCAGACTAGTTCGAGCAAACATTAAAATTTCGTCGAACCGGTCAAAAATTTGGCCGCTTAGGGCTGTTTGCCTGGCAGATCAGCATAAGAATCTGTCGTTCGTGCATCCTCCTCTCCACCTTTCCTCCCTCTTCCCCTATATTGTACTCTCTGAAAAGGTGCCTAAATGCTGATTCATAATTTATGGGGTTGGCGTAGTCTGTTTGAATAATGATATCCTTTCTATGAATCTAGATTAGTCGTTAAATTCTGATTTCTGAATTTCTCGATGGAAAAATATTTTGCATCCTTGGTAAATCGATTTGCTTCAAAATTTCGCGCTTATTCGTGCCTTTCGATACGGAATCTTGGAGAATTTTCTCGAAAAACAATTTCACTGCAACGAACTCTGAAAAACGAAATATTTTTTCTTTCACTTAGAATTCTAACTCTTTCCTCCTTATTTTCGACATTATTCACTCGATCGAATCGAATTATCGTCACCTTATTTTTCATCACGCACACCTCGACTCTCGAAATAATATTCGACCCAAGGATATTCTCAAGAGTTTCTGGAATCGAACAATGGAGCTATTTTTCTCATAAAATAGAGAAAGAAAAACAAAGAGAGGGAGGGAAATAGAAATAAAGGAAAAGAATAAAGAAAAATAAAGGTAGACAAAAAAGGCGCAAGGTGTCTCGATCGCTCAATAACCGATTGGTAATTGAATTTGCAACAGTGCGGGGGGAGGTCACGATCTTTCCTTTGTGCTTCGGCTTATGCGCTCTTATGACGCGCGACGATTGCTCGAGCGGACGTTCCACGTAAGAGAATCGTTTATTGGACAGGGAGCGCGGCATTTTCTCGAGCGGTGTACGGTATGTACGTGTCTTGTCTCGATCCGATCTTCGTCCGGGTCGGGTCAAGTCGTTTGCATTTACTGCCGGTTCTCTTCCTCCCCTCGGACTCGCCTTTCTCATCGGTCAGAATCGTCATCTGGATTCGAGTTATTCCCTTTCCTATCTCGTCGTCACTCCGCTCGGTCGGATAGAACAACCGCCCCGTATTAATTACGCTCTCGAATCAGCCCCGTCGTGTCTCCTCGTCGATCGAGATTGCCAGCTTAAATTGATTAACGACTCGCGACTGGATATACCAACTGGAGATTGTCTCGGTTCACTCGGGAGTTGAGAAGGATTGTTGAGTTAGGTGGGATGCAGTTGATGTCGTTGTTTGAACGAATCGAACGAGGATTTTCTCGCATTTTCATTTTCTTCGTTTTATAGAAAAACGGGTGGTATTGTTAAAAATCAAAGGGAAGGGAGGATATTGCATATAGGGAGGATATTATAATTGATTACGATAATTGATTTGACAAATTTCTCCGTGTCGTGATACGAAAATTAGAAAAAAAGAAAATGCGGAATGTGCGAAACTTTTTAAAATTATATTATTTAGTTACGTATTTTTTCGAAAAAACTTAAAAGTTTTAACATTTATTTCAATTGTTTATCAATTGTCGTAAAACATTTCCCGTCGCATTTTCTATCTGCGAAATCTATCTTGTTTAATTGCTAGAGGAAACTCTTGTATTCAGATCTAAAAATATATCGTTAGGAATATTAATACGAATGAAGAAATACTCGATATTTTTAACATAGTGTGGCTGAATAATTAAAAGAAATCAAGTAAAATGTATCTTTTTTTTAAATATTTTAAAATCGTTATATAAATATTCATAAAAATTACATAATTATTTATAACGAGCAACTATATTCAATATTTCCTTTTTTCTTCTAAACAGGAAGCTGCAAACATTTGAAAAATACGTAATAAAAAATTTAATTTACCGGTTGCGTAATTTTATGTAACTGGCACACAATAGAATCCTACAGACAGCCAAAAGGATCGTTCGTAATTTTGTAACTGCGAGATTAATTTCAGCTTAAAAACGTGAAACGTGAAAAATTTTCCAATGTTAATCCTATTCTATATTTCTTGAATTAAAATCATAATCGTAAATCGACCATTGATATTAAGTTGATACTTGATTATTTACTAATTCGATTATTTTAAAAAAGAATATTTAATAATTATCACTTTTCGCTTATCGAATCATATGCTCTCCATTTCGATACGAATAATAAAAATTAAGAAAGAAGAAAAATAGAAAAAAAGGAGGAAAACATTCATTTACATTGAAAAATATTCGCAGTGAATACGGATTTATACGAACAATTCGAAACCGTCGCTCGAAACCGATGAGTTATTCTACGCGGGCCGGTGCGGTGTGGTGGGGAGAGAGCGCGGAGAGGGGGTAAAGCCACCCTGCGCGGCGTCACCGCGTCAGTGAGCAGCGAGCTCTCGTCGCGTGAACATTGTCTTGTTACGGGTTTCTCGAAAACAGTCGTGCCACGTGCTTCTTCGTGCCGCGTTACTTTCACCCGACCGGTTCGCGTGATACTAATACCTCGTTACGATTTTATATTTCGCCGAATATTGTGAACAGGTGCATCGATGCGTCGTCCGGCTCGCGTGCTCGCGTGATCGTCCGAAAAACTGGATCGAAGCTCGTTGAAATTCAAATAGAGGGAAATTATATCGAATCACCGTTGCCTGTACACTTTCTTCCTTTTCTTCGTCGGTACGTTCGTCTTGATTTATTGCGTATCATCGAGTCTTTCGTTTAACGCGTTTCTCACGATTCTTTCGTTTATTGCGTATTTATTCGTTCTTCCATTCACTACGCACATATATTATTTCTTCGCGTATTGTCGCGTGGAACGTTTACGTGGAAAAAAAAGTAAATATAAATTTCTCGGTATTCTCTTTTCACGCGTCCCTACATTGTTACGATAGATTGTTGTGCGATACGCTTATCTCGCGATAAGAGTCGAGCGAAAATTATAAACGGTTGCGTGTTTATTGTGGTCGAGCTCGACGAGTCGATCTCGCCTACCTGTTTACCTATATTCGCGTTAATTCTTGTCGCGTCGATAACCATGGACTTCGTTTACCGATGATGTAACAATTACCAGACTCTCGTTATTTTAATAACTTCGAGACTTGCATAAATCCGCGAAATGTCCATTAACATTCGTTCGTAACGGGTATTTCAGAAGCGGTAATTTGTTAAAAAGTACACGTTGTATTTGCGATTCGATACCACCGGAGAGCTCTTATCTCGATCTCCTAAGAATATTTCCATAAAAAAGATATTACCACGATCGAAAGCCTGTTCGTGAATTTTTGACGTAAGAGGCTACCGGCAATTAGTACAACCACAATTATTAGCAGTAAGAGATAAAGAAGAGGAAGAAAAATAGCGTATTTTCACGTAATTCAGAAAAATTCGTGTTTTCGTAAGAAAACGACTCGGCGCACGATTTTTCCTCTATAAATAATAGGCTAATTTTATTTATTGCTTTGATAATTCTCGTACGTAACATTGTCATAAGGGAACCGAATGGTTTGTTGCATAATGTCGGTAATTTTACGATATTTGCGTGGTGATAAGGCATGCGCCTCGGACGTTTCTAAGATACAAACACCGGTCTTCCACGTCGCCACGTCTCATTGCAACTTCAAAGTCGATCTGTGACGTTGCATAGGTTAACTGGCGTGGGAGATCTGTCGTTGTGCGACCGACTATCGCGATATAGAAACCGGTGCAGCAGAGTATCGAAGTATCATCTTGGTCGGTGGTAGATCGAACATCGTAAATCGTCGTCGAATCTCTCGCGAGAAGTTTTTACGAGTGGTAATGGACGCGTGGTAATAAACGAGCTGATTTACGCCACTTTTTTTCTCTCTCTCTCTTTTTTTAACTCCGTGCCCCGAATTCTTCGCAGTTCGAGTTAACGCTCAGACGTACTCTTGTCTCTAGTTTCCTTGCACGAGGAAGTATTTTTTTTATTTTTATTCGTGACAAACAACACGCTGGTGTTTTTTTTTTTTTTTTTTATTAATATATAGTCGAGATAGGAAACTCGATCACAAGAGCCAACACGATCAGATGAGTCGGGTTTCTGGCTTATTGAAACGCGACGTGAAACAAGTTGGTCGTTCGACCGGAGTGTCGTGTATTACACGGTTGCATAATGGCTCGATTAGACGAAGGCGTACCATCGAAAGAGTGAATCGTGAAAGTCGCGCATCTTCGCGGTAAACACGATTCCGGTTAGGGGGGAAAAGCGAGAAGGTTCTAAAGGTCGCGTTAGCCTGGGTTATTCAGTTGTGTTTAAATGGTAGCCATTGAACCATTATCTCGAGCAAGTTATCGGAAAAACGTTTCCCTGACCTCGCTTCCTGCTGAGCCCTAAACTCTCGGGGGCTTTGAATTGGGGAAAAGGCGCGCTGCTAAAACTCTGCGGCGAATTAAAATTACGTCGCAAAGATCGTGGCTCGATATCGACGACCGAGTCTTCTCTCCAATTCAACAATTCGTCAAATCTGGAAAATCTTTGGAAAAACTTTGGATAATATAAATTAAAATAAATTAGAATATTTATTCATGACGCGTTGGATCGAAAAGCAGAATTTTTTTTCCCAATTCATTATTATTTTTTACTTAGAAAATTCGGTGAAGATCGGACAGAAGCATCGGAGACAGGAATACGAAGTTGGACGAAGATCCAAGGCCTATCCATCTTCGTCGTTCGAACGATCTACGTGACTGGCCACGTGACTGGTGCGCGAACAGGTATGCAATATGAAAATTTATTTTTGGTTTTTGATTGCGTGCGCGGTGATGTTTGTAGTTTTCACAGTTGAAGAGGAAGGGTGATTTTTCGCGCGATAAAAGTGAAAGCAACCGTGAGCGACCGATCGATCAGTTTTTGCGCCGCGCTCCACGCTTTTCATTCTCTCTCTCTCTCTCTCTCTCTCTCTCTCTCTCTTTTATTTTTTCCAATTCGAATGATTTTGCTTATAATTCGTAGAATTCACTTTTTCATCGCGACTCGCGAATGTTTGTTCCGTTCGATTGAGACGAGCGAATCGTACAAATTCGATCAACTTCTCGATTTTTAACGCTAGTTTTTTTTTTTTTTTTTTTTTATTCAACGCAATTTTCTATAATAAGCAGAGAGATTCAGACGTTAGATTGGATCTATGCCGAGGCAAAATTGAACAGGTTCGTTCAACTTTTGATTGCAAAAAGGGTTTTGAAAAACGAGAACGGCCAATTTTTCTCATCGTTCCGCCGATTCGGTAAAACGATGGAGGATAATGGAGACTCGAGAGAGAGTTTAACTCGGTTTCATTAGACCCTCGTTTGTCGTTCGGATGGCGCATCACGAACAATCGATGATTATTCGCCGCGTTAATTACTCGCCATTAACAAGTTTCAAGTACAACCAACGAATCAAGGTCTTTCGTTCCTAAATTTTTGCACAAATTTTGCACGAAGATTTTTACATTTGCTTTTTTCTTTTTTTCTTCTATCATTCCCTCCCAACGTTTTCCAACGTTCCTCTTCCCTTTCCAACGCGATTTCGCACACGCGTCTCCGACGATGTTCGATAAATTGCATTTACACGACCACTTATCGAATCCACCTGTCTGAATTCTCACATTCTCCAACGTTTCACACTCGGCAAAATCAACTTTGTTTTATCTTTTTCTTTTCTCTCTCTCTCTCTCTCTCTCTCCCCTCGCACTAAAACGATTCCATCGATCATTTATATTCAATTAGTCTCGAGTAACCCGTAACAATCATACGGGGATCTCGTTTCACTCGTTTCTCGTACTTTTCCACCTTTTTTATTCCTCTCTTTTTTTTCAATCGTTCCCTTTTAAAACCGTTCCATTCTTAGGTAGGATAGGATAAGAGTAGAACCGAGGAGGATTTTTATTCCATAGTTTCTATTCCGTAGTTTTATCACGGTTACACACTGCTGACGCCACCTGGCTGTTTTTCCGCCATCCCCCCCCGAGAGATTTTCCTTTAATCTCGCACCCCCAGCGCGTATCGTCTTTTATTATCGCGATATCGGGAAAATTTCTTGTTCGGGCCGACGATAATCGAAGCGGCACGCTCCGAGTAAAAATTTTTATCGTCCACTTCCTCGCCTCGTCCAGAATCTGTTAACGCGTTTCTGCAGATCGTGCGAAAATTTTTATCGACGTCCGACGTTTCGTTGTAAGCAAACCCGCTTCTCCTTGCTTCTACTACATTTTTTCTTCCCTCCTTCTCTCTCTTTCCCTCTCTTTCTCCCTCTCTCTCTTTCTCTCTCCCTCTCTCTCTCTTTCCCTCTCTCTCTCTTTCTTTCCTTCTCTCTCTCTCTCTCTCTTTCTCCCTTTTTTCTTCCTTTGATCGGCGACCTTAAGGAACAATGACGCGGAAAGAAAGATCGCGGAGGATGATCGCGGAGAGCGAAGCGATTGGATCCGTGGTGGTGAATTGGAAACGGCGCGGGTATCGAGTATCCGCTAGACGTGATGCAACGGCAGTTCGTCTTAATATCGATGGCGTAGGTGGACGAGATAAAGTATAATCAAGAGGATGCGAAAGTGAGACATATTGCTCCTCTTACGCGAAACGTAATCGAGACGTAAATAGTTGTGTGCCGGTGACGCAATCGTGCAGACGCGCTCGTAAACTTCTTTTCACTTCTTTTCTCTTCTTTTCCGATTCCAATTTTCATTTCCGTTCGTCGTCAAATTCGTTGGAATTAAATAATTGAAATATTCAAATTCGAGGTAAATTGGTGCGTGATAAGGGAAAATGAATTCGGGGATGGGTTCAAATTTTTCGGTCCAAATTTAAAATTCGAAACACCGTTTCCCTAGAAACTAGAGAAATTCAAAGTTGAAAGGAGTGGTTAAGCGACTCGACGATCGAAAACAATTTTTCGCGAGGGGCAAAGTTGCGCCATTCTTCTTATCGCGACGAGCCGGCCTCCCAGCTTAGTCCTCCCTTCGAATATTTCGGTGGTTGCAGGTGTATTAAGTCCGTTCATCTCAATATTGGAAAACTTGGCCGATGTAAACGAGCTTCATACGGCGAAACAGGAATTTCCTCTCGTCCAATTGAACCGAATTTCTTTCCACCAACTTATTCTTCCAACCACCCTTTCCTCTTCCTATTTTTCCCCTATTTTTTCCAACGAGAAAACTGACTCTGGAAAGAGATTGGAGAGGAGTCGCGCGAATATCCTTCGTCCTTCGTCCCCTCCCTCCCTTCCTTTGGCCAAGAAATGGATAAAAATCTCGGAATCGAGGAAACGCGTCCCCATTCGCGGTTAATTAATCGCGAAACGCGTCGTTACTCGTCGCTTTGTGCGTTTCGTCATTTGTGTTTCCAGTTCCTCTCCACCTCTCTTCTCTCTCGTAGAGAGGGAAGGAGAGAGAGAGAGAGAGAAAGAGAGAGAAGACTTTGCTCGAGGAAGGAAGTTTGTCAAGTTTCGCACGAGGATCCTCACGAAGGTTTTTAAATCAATTTGCAAACTTTTGCCACCCGATGTCGAAAGAAA